GGGTTTAGGGTTTAGGGCTGCATGGGCTTGTGATTGAAGTACCTAGGGGTCGAAGGATCAAGCCCTTCTGGGGGGTTGTGAGGTGGTGGAGTCGGGATTTGTGAGGTTTACGGCTCAGGGCCTGGTTTGGGTGTAGTGTAGAGCCTCGAGCCTAGTGTCATACAGTGGAAGGCTCACCGGGTTGTGTTTACAGTAAAGGGCTGAGGGCTTAGAGCTCTGCTTCAGACAAAGGGTTCAGAAACCCCTAAACCCCAAAAACCCTAAAAGTTCACGATCGAGGTTGCAGGGCTACGGTTCAGCGTTGATGTAGAAGGTGCTGAAAGACTAGACTCTCTTTACCTACAGTTTAGCAGCCGTGACCCCTGAATTAGTAGGTAGAACCCATTTAGAGTCCCAGGAAGAACCTCCCAGTAAGGAAATGCTAGAACCCCCATGTACCGACACAAATTCTGTCCGGGAGCATTTGCCTACTGTACCTCGGCTTCAGGAAGCCAAGAACCTCCTACATCCCATGCCCTAAACCGACAACAACACATAAATCCCAACCTTACGCCAAGAAGCGCAACCCCAACCCCGCAACCATACGAAAAGGAAGAATACGAAGACAAAAACAAAAAACAACTGGCTTCGGAAAATAATCTTTTTCTTCCGTAGTAACCCCAGTGGCACTTCATTGACGAATTAAAAATGGCTCCCCTGTGCAGCTATAGCCAACGCATAGTACAACATCCCCCCCCCCACACACACCCCAGTGAAAAGTCAAGACCCGTAAATTACATGAGCCGCCTTACAAACACCAAGCACGTCCTTCGCATCGTCCCTAAGACCCCACGGACACAGACAAACACTCTACTGACGAAGCCATCAGACATCGCGAAGGAGTATCTGAAGACGCTTTGCCTGCATTTACCTACACTGAAGCCTCAACCCCAAACCCTGGCTGAACTAGGCGCTGGATCCCTAAACCCAAAGAAACCCTACAGCTGAAGACGGAGACCCTGGTTTGCAGGAGATTGTCAGCAAGGCTTTATGGGTTTAGGGCTGTATGGAACTAGTAAGGGGGTTTTGAGTTTAGGGCTTTATGGAGCTAGCAAGGGGTCGAGGATTTAGAACCTGAAGCAGGACCCCGATTCCGAAAATCGTCCAAACCCGAACCCTGAACCCGACGACTATTCCGAACCCGGAAGTCCCAAAACCAAACCCGAAAATGCCAAAGACGTGGCCTCAAGCTGAGGGCTCACTGCCCTATGGCCAGTGGCCGTCATGAGCTGCAGCTGCTGTCGTCAGCTCCACCCTAAACCCTAAACCCCTAGACCCCAAACCCAGGGATAGAATGGATCCGGGCCCAGCATTTGTGTAATGCCTTAACCTTTGCCAGTCAATATAGGGGCCTTAATCTTTTGGAGTTTATGATACTATAATTATGATAAGGAGCCCCAAAATGGTGTAGGTAATTATTTAGGCTCCTGTATTAAGTCGAAGATTCAGGGCTAGGGTTCAGGCTGTTGGACTGAGCCAGGGCTCGAAGTTTCGCAGCTTAGGCAGACGAGGTGTATGCATGAGCACAAGCAAGTGAAACGAGGATTATAGAGAGAGAGAGAGACAGAGAGAAAGAGACAGACAGACAGAGGCGAGAGAGAGCTCTGCTTAGACAACGCAACATCTTAGTCAGAAGCACTTCTGCCTGAGATCTTATAAGATGCAGCGGCTGCAACTACTTCTTCCGTTTCTCTTCATGCTTCTTTACTGACTGATCCAGCCACCATCCACGGTAAGGATGGTTCCCGTGCTCCCCTTGTTCTCGGGGTCGCAGAAATAAGCGCAGGCTCTGCCGATTTCCTCCGCAGCCACGAAGTCCTTCGTGGGCATCTTCTCGCCAATCAGCAGGCCCTTGGCCTCCTCAACCGAGATACCTGGGCTCTTGTTAAAGGATTTAACTTAAGTTACCACAATAGGGATCTATAGCAAATAATATGGGTTCTTATGACGGTAACTTAAATTAAGTGCCTTAACAAGAACCCAGATACCCTCCGCCGTCGCTCGGGCCTGTACCTGAGCCTCAACGAGTGGCGTCAGAACCCAGGCCGGGCACACAGCGTTGCAAGTGAGGTTGGCTTCCCTGGCCGTCTCCAGGGCCGTGACTTTGGTGAGGCCCAGGACGCCGTGCTTGGCGGCGACGTAGGCAGATTTGTTTGCGCTGGCCACCAAGCCATGGACCGAGGCAATGTTGATGATGCGGCCGAAGTTGCTCTCCTTCATCGAGGGGAGAACCAGCCGGGTCATATGGAAGACGGAGCTCAAGTTGAGAGCAATGACTCGATCCCAGGCCTCCGATGGGTTTAGGGCTTAGGGTTTATTTAGGGTTTATGGTTTAGGG